AAAAATGCCAAAACTCGAAATTCCTATTTCATGAGAGGTGGGGGATAACGGTCAATTTTTCTTTCAGGTGCCTAGTTCCTTCAGTACCAATTTTAAATTTCCCTTACATCACTTTACCGTAGTAAAAGGTTGGGGCCGAACAGCTTTTCAATAAACATTTTCAATTATATTAAAAGTAATGTTTGTAAATAAAAGTGCCCCCCCCCCCCCGGTTGCTACATGTACGTGCCTGTATAAATCTGAAAGAATCTATATCCCGCATTTTAAAGCATTATTATGTCAGTGGAACATAATTATTAACAATGTATCGATGTTTTACCTTTCGGGAATTTTTCACTCATATGAAAACGTTACCAGATGCCACGAAGAGCAATTCTTGTTTAAATCAAATTCTTTTTCGCTCCGAAATTCAGATAGTCGCAAGGTGTACAGCAACTATAAGAATTTCGGAGCATAATAAAGATCTGAAATAAACATTGAACGCAATTCATTAAAAATACCAAGGTTAGATATATTTGCATTTATAAAACATGATGGCAGATCAGTCTGCAATTAAGGAATGTGCATCACATTTGATCCAAGAAAAGGTGGAAGTCGGGTTCGGAGGGAAGGGGTACTAACCATGATTTAATAATGCTGAAAATCCTATCGTAAAGGTGAATTAATGATTTCCAGCAATTAACTTGTCAAAAGGGAAATTTTCAATGCTTATTACTACCAAAAACCAAAAAAAAAAAAAGAATCGTAGCTCCTTTGAATGTTTTTTGCATATCCTGATGTTCTTTTTTTTGGTTTGTTATTTAAGTTGAAAAAAAAAAGTATGTTCATGTATGCATATGTATTCTCAAAAAGTAAAAGCCGAAACTGAAAATTGTGTTTTGTTAATTTTTATACATGGTATCAACACACTTCAAATTAAGATAGCCGTCTTTATCAGAAAAACCATCATAATAATGCACGAACAATATCGTATGCAGTTAGTTCATACATGTGTAATGTATGTCCTCGTGTTTATTTTCTATTTACAAACTTCAATGTATACACACAAAATAAAAAACAAAAAAAAAAATGAATAAAAGAGAGATATATCGTTCATTCAGAATTTTAAGACTTAATCGTGATCAAAAAATTGGAATAATGGACTTCAAGCTAAAAATTATGTTCCATTGACTTTCTTGATGAATTGTTTTCTGGGAAAAACTAGCAAAGTCATGAATGACAAACAAAATTTCCAGTAAAGATAAATATTTTAGATTAAACTCTCTCCACACTTTAAAAATAGCTTACAAAGGAAGAGTAAGCTATAGCTTTTTTCAGTTCAAAATTTATTCTTCTTTTTCGCTGTATCGGGAATAAAACGTTCAAACTCCGATAACGTCAAGTCGACGTCATAACGTCATTGCGTTATTTTCTTACGAAAACTACCTTTATTTAAAAAAGAGCTCTCTTAGAGAAATGGTTTGAGATAATAACAAAAATTAAAATTACTTAGTAAGTGTTCACCCAAGACATGTTTCAAGAACAATTTAATTAGAATTTGGGACTGGGCGGATTTCTGCTCATACCGCACTTTCTTCTTTATATATTTATTCTCTCGTGTTTTAAAGCAATTAATAAATTATATTATTTTAATCTCCCACGTAGAATTATACCTGTATATTTACGTATTTATTTTCTTTACTTCTTTATACCAGTATTTACTGGCCATGGGTAAATAATTTGGGTAACATGTAAACATGTAAATCTTCCTTTATATTTTTGAAAAAAAATATCTGAAGCAGCTTATAGAAAACAATTTCAGTACTAGATTGGGAGGACGACTCATAGAAATTTAAGAAAAAGTTATCAGGCTTTATTATTGAAATCTAGTCTAATGATGAGAGTTAATACAGTTCAGACCTCTCTCTCTCTCTCTCTCTCTCTCTCTCTCGGTCTTGAAGTTTCCTGTATTTATTTATAAATAATTATTTAGAATAAAATATTTAGAAATATTTTTTAAAGATAATTTTTAATTTCATTAATGTGTGTGTGTGAATGGGGGGGTATATTATTATATTCTTAGTAATATTTGTCATTTATTTTTTTTTTCATTCTGATTAAAATCATACTCCCTATTTAATTCTGAGCATGAAAAAGATCTGATATAATTTTACTTAATTTGTTTTTTAAAATGTCCGGTAAATATTTATTACATGTACGTACTTTTAATGTGTAACTACTATAAATGAAATCTAAATATATCACGTGTAAAAAAGGTTAATGTAATTTATAGATCATTGGCGGATCCAGAGGGGGGGGGGGGGTGGTCCGGGGGTTGGACCCTCCCCGTTATTTTTGGCCAAGTGGAGAGAGAGAGAGAGGAAAAACATGTTATCAGAGAATACATATTTCTACGTCTTACTCATGTATTGAATAGATAGATTCTCACTCATTTTAGTTTCTTTCATTCACCTTCACTATTCCTTTTTTATTAGAGAATGGTAAAAATGTTCTACTTATAAAAGTTTTATATATCTTATATATGATATGTATTATGCAAGGTTTAATTTGATATTAGATTCCCGCGATCTTTGGCTGTGTTGGCTATATATGTACCGTTTTTTGATCATATCTTTTGAAGGAACTAACATGTAACACTTTGTGTCAAACCCAACCCGCACCCCACCCCAAAAAAAGTTTTTTTAAACTCTAACAGAACTTTCTTTGTACTCTTCTGAAATGCTGCAAATCTATTCAATTTGAAGGCTTCCGTAGTCTTTAAAATGTATTCTTTTTTTTTTTTTTCGGACTGGGGGTCCCTTTTCAAAGAAAGAAGAACAGGTCACGGTAGCCCAGTGGTAGAGCGTTCGCTTTGTGATCGGGATGCCCGGGTACGATTCTCGTTCGCGGCGCCGCGTCATACCTAAGACGTAAACAAAAGTAGTGACTGTTCCTTTGCCAAACGCTCGGCACTAAAACTGAAAGTCACGGGTCTTTCGGATATGACCTTAAAACGTAGGTCCCGTGTCACGTTAGGCGCTGGCAAGATAAAGAACCCTCACTGCTCAATGGCCCTGAGTGCCGAGTACATGTATAGGTCTAAATTTAAAGCCCTTCACCGGCATACGGTGACGTCCCAATATGAGTGAAAAATTCTCACGAGGGACATTAAACAATATACAATCAATCAATTAATCAAAGAAGGAAGTGACGTAAACTATATATTATTTCCCAAAACCGTAAATATGTCCATACACGTCTGTGAATCTCTGCTTGAAAGTGTATATGGAGTGGGGGAGGTCAGAAGGACACAACCCTGGACCCCCCCCCCTTTCAAAAATGGCTGGATCCGCCCCGGTAGATGCCATATCATAATTCACTTGTTTGGCAAAGATCTAAGCTACGAAAACAAAACGAATAACAAATATAATTTTAAAGTATATTACAAATGAATTTGAAAGGAATTTTGTTTAGATGCTAACGTCAGTCTCACTTGTAAACCATTCGATACATTGAAAATCAATTCCACACCTTTTTCTTCCTCTTCTGTTTTTGTTTCCACGTTATAACTAAAGAAAAATAAAAGCCTAATAACCCGCTGTTAAATAACCTTGAGTTTCTCGGTATCGAAATTCTGAGATCGGAGAAATCAGGGAAATCAAATATACATGTAAATCTCCGTCAAATATACAGTTGAATTTTAGAAAAATTATCGGTTCTCCATAATGTCACTGTTTACATGTACAGTGTTCATGCATCGATCGCCGCATAAACAACAATAATCGATTCACAATCCCATTACTATATCGGAATATACAAGTGGTGGGGCTAAGTGGCGGCGAGATTAAAGCCGGGTCCGCTTCATGAATGCATGACTGCGTAAAGCGGTCCCAGAAAGCAAACGCCAGGTTCGCTCTAGCAGACCCAGAGCTGACCCCGAGCAAACGCAGAGCGAACCCGGAGCGCACCCAAAGCGCACCCAGAGCGGTCACAAAATTCCTGAACGCGAACCCGAAGCGGACCCCGAGCGAATCCGGGAAGCAAACCCGGGGTCCGCTTCGGGTTCGCTCTGGTGTTACGGGTGAAACACAATATAGGGAACAGCTAGGTTGCACTTAGGGGTAAAAAATTAATGTTTTTAAGTTGCCCCCCAAATTTTTTTTTCTAAAAAGAAGAGTGTCTAAAGGATCTGAAACATAAACGGTTTTGTGAAAGTCACATTAGAACTTTGCTTTTTACAAGCTGATAATAACCTCATTTTCACAGGTTACGGACACTACAAGTGTTGTTTTCTTTGAAATAAATATTGATAAATGTTGATAAACTCTTTTTTTTTTCAACTGCTCACAAACAAACAAAATATAAAAATACAAAATATGGACAAAAGTTTGACTTAAAAAGGTGGCATTATACTTTAAAATGAAAAAAAATCTTACTTCGTACATTTTTGCTTAAAATGGTAGTATTTCAATTGATGTGAACTCTTTGAAACCAATTTTAAATAAAGGAAAAACTATTTATAAATAACACTTTTTATGCATCTGTTAAAATAGATATACTTCCAATAAAATAGGAAATTTCGTTTTTAATAATATAGGTGAGCTATAGCCGTGGCAATTTAGAAAGGTTCGTGATCAACTTATTATACCCCACGCAGCAAGTTGCTAGAGGTATAATGTTCTCGACCCGTTCGTCCGTCAGTCAGTCACAGTGTCAGTCAGTCCGTCAGTCCAGTTTTTTAGTGCAACTTCTCTTAAACCGCTCTACATAATTTCATCAAACTTTGCAGATATTTAGGAAACAATGTGTAGATATGCGCGTGCATATTTCCAGGACATTCCCATTCCTTTCGTTCTTTTCAAAAGAACTTTATTCGCTAATAACCAATATTTGCCCCCAAAATCAAACTTAGACGGAGGAATTTTTAATTATGTTCTAACACAGAGGGATATATGAAAAAAATTCAAATTGATCATGGGCATTTATGTTTCAAATAATATCTCAAATGAATCATATTTCAGAGTGAAGAGGAATTTGTTGAACGCTTACAACAAAACTTCCCAAAGAATTCCAACTTACTACAGTATGTGGACAAGGATAGCTGCTTCTTCACACAGTTTCCCATCACACCTCTGGAGGCTTTAGAAAAACGTATTGTAGAGATTGCATCTCAAAAGCGGTGGAGAGAGGAGATTCCAAAAGGCTGGGCCTTTTTTGAAATTGAAATTAATCAAAGAAAAGCCGAGAGAAAAATGTTGGACTTGTCAGACATAGTTTCAAAGAATACAGAAGATAATAAAGAAAATAATGAAAGGAAAGATATGTTGCGTTATTATCATGATGCAGGGAAGGTTTTGTACTTTAACGAAGATGGATTAGAGAAATGGATAATTATTGATGTACAGTGGTTTGTGAATGTCTTCAAAGGCATCATCACTGATAAACTTCATTTGAAAGGAATTGAAGCTACATGGCTAGATTGGGATGATTACTACAATACTGGTTGTCTACGGAAAGAAGTATTAATGGAAATATTTAAACGTAAAGAAAACAAAAATGCTACCGCAAATTTCACTGTTCGGGAGAATCAAGCTTCCCACAAGTCAGATATAACTGTTTATTACGTGAGAGACGAAACACAAAGTTCTGGAAAAAAGAACATTGATCAGAGTTCTCCATATCTCTTGAATAACTTGGACATTATTTTGAACTTCATGCAAAGACTCGGTTTAATAGCAAAAGGAGAGAATTATCACTATATACCATGCATGAACAGGAAAACATTTGACAAAAGCATTCTAAATATGATAGGCGAAACCCATGAAAAAACATCGATTCTTCTTTTCCATTTCAAGTACCTTCCCTACTTTTTATACTTTCGTCTTGTCGTTGCATGCCTAAATTTAGAGGGTTGGATTGCGTTAAAAAATAAAAGTACATCCTGTTTGTACAAAAATGCTGCCTTTTTTTCATACAATGAAAACATCATTGCAATTGCTGTGACAGAAACATCAATTCAGCTACAAGTATACATTCCAAACGACGAATCTCACACTTCCGTGGAAATAACTCGAGATATCCAAGGATCAGTTGAAAAGATACTGAAGAAAATTGCTACAACTTTTCACAGGAGAGTGGAATTTGAAAGAGGTTTTAGCTGCATGAATGAAAATGAGCAATACATAACAATTGATATGGAAGAGCATTTTATTCCGGGAAAAAGCGTCAAGATAGGAAGCAAAGTTAGTTGCCCATTACATCGATTTGAGGGTCGCCACTTTATCAATACGAGTGAATTAATGAGGTTCTGGGACTTTGATGCAATGTAGCATACCCAGTAGCTTATGCGATTCACAAATACATTTCCAAAATTTATTATTGCTTGTCTTTCTCTTCATTCATTTGCGATGGTAGTTATTTAGTAACTCAGTTATTGTCGTGATTGTGTTTGTCTACCATCGCATGTTGTAGTAATAAGTCGTCCATTCTCATTTAAACAATGAAATTCCTTGAAATAATAGCCAACTCACTCCAGCTTGGATTTCAAGCATACTTGATTAAAGAAAACAAAGTGTAAACTTGACAGACTCTTCATTCAATGGAAAACTGGGAGGATGGACCGAAACCGGAAAACGTTAATTCAATTATCTGATTTTTTCTCCTGGATATAGACTAGAAATATTAGCCTGTGTGTCTTTGATTTTGAGCTCACATGCACGGAGCACGGAGTTTTACTCGTAAAACTGAAAAATAAATGTATGTAAAAACATTCTAGGGTATTGTAGATTTTTTAATTGTAAAAATTATTGGTCATGTGATAAAAACAGGGACTAGTCTAGTAAAACAAAGAATAACATTGATATAATTTGAATAATTCTTTTTCTCGAATTTCCGAAGAACTACCTGGTCAGAAATGATGAAAATCAATTTACAAGCCTTAAACTTTTATGTAGATTATATATTGTTGAAATCATGGCCCTTAGAGGTAAGATGGGGCCAAAATGGTGAAAAGCTGATGAAGAACAGCAGATCCAAATCTACTTAGACGAACGCTGTGGCGCATGGACCTCGTGTTCATTTGTGAGTTTTTTTAAGATGGTAAAATATCATTTTACAGCATCCACCACAGCGACTGCTTCATTAAATATGTATAAGGTACAAAAATATGTCTATAAATTTACTAACTTATCTATTCTTTTTTCTTTGTAATAAACTTTTATATAGATTGATGTGTGAAACTCTTAACTTTGTATGGAAATAAAATAAAATGTATAGTTAACATTAACTTGTAAAATTCTTGACTAAAACAAAAAAAGAAACATCAAGGATAACAAATTCATGATTAAACAAGATATGCTTGTAAAACACAGATGCAACCTATTGGCAGCTACAGCAAGGGTTGAATCCTCTGACATGCATGTCACACTTTAAAGGTTAAGGTCAATAAGTCAAACGTTTTGGTATCCAAAGGAAGATCTTACAAAGAATACAATATGAAAAATAAAATATGAAAGCCGTTGTTCAAACTGTTCAAATATTAGGAATAAGGTTAAATTTGTTTTAGAAATATTGGTCAAACTCTTAGGTCAAGGAAAAAAAAAATAAAAGCAGCTGAAATGTCTTGATAACAATAAATTTACATGTGAAGTATATAAATGAAAGCCCTGGTTCCAACTGTTCAAATGGTAAGGTCAAGGTTAAAGTGTGACATAATAACTATTGGAACACTGATCATATTATCCTTTATCTTAACATTTGAATTCCTTATTATAGTCTTTTTTATCCCTGTACATGTATATTTAGTCGTAAGACTTGCATTGTTTTGTTGGACATGGATTTCTTTCCATGATTATTGATATTATAAGCCTTGCCAAATCAAACTGGCGTTATGTTATAAGAACTCTATTGATCACTTGGTAAAAAGCATGATTTTTGATTTATTTTATTCAAATGCATATTCCTCAGACAATTAAACATTGAAGGTGGCTTGTAAATTTTTTTTGAAAACTATAAAAAAGAGAGGTTTGTTTAATGTTAAGCGAATATTTTATCGTCCTCTGAAAGAAACTTTTCCCTTTTAAGTATTTAAATCTTTAATAATTGTTCATCGCCAGATTGTGTAATTGATGAAAAACATCTTAAGACCTTATTGTGATTCCACAGAAAAAAAATCATCAACGCTACCAAGAATTTTGAAAGTACAGAACACACATACATGTATATATAATTTCTTACTGAAAGCATCATAATATGTACGTTCGGGTGAAATTGTACACGACAGCTATTTTTTCACATTGCAATAATTGTATTTTTTTTAAATATTAATAATATTATTATTGTGGAGAAATTGGGCATGTAGAATCGAGATACACATATTATGAAAAGCTATTGTTTCTGGCAACACAACACAGAAAAGTAAGATACTAGATATTCAAACTCAGCTTCAAAGTTCAAACGAGGGTTATCCGTAAATCAAAGTTCATGAACAACATTGTTAATTACTAGCAAATATTTATATGCAGCAATAATTCTTAATAATTAATGTTTTATTTAATACATATTCAAATTTTATACAAAAACCAATTACATGTAGTTATTTTTTATCAGATACCAAAAAAGACACAACCCTACCCGAATCACTAAAACGAAAGTCCTTGACGTTACGTGCTTTTAAATAATGCATGTTAGTTTTCTCAATACAGTCATCGCTTAACTCAGTACATTTCTTCTGATATCGCTTAAATCAGTCATCAAAAATGTGTACAAACCGTTCATATTTCATTTGTTGAATAATAGTTAATACTTCCTGTCTCAGATTTTTTTTAAATGATCAAACCTCTGTCTTCGTAAAACGACTTTAGATACGGAAATACAAAACGTCACGTTACGAAATTCATTTTTCACTGCACTGCAATCTCGACATGAGGGTCTTTCCTCAAGCATACCATACTGTAAATTGTTCCTTCCGACCGAAAAAATTATATTATTTTTACTGAAATCTAAAGAACGGCTTCATTTACTATATTTTCTCTATTTTTTTTTACATTATTCATGGGTCTCTTGGTGTTTTCCGGATGTCTACGCAGAATTTTATCACTGCTCTCTACTCCACCTATTACGAATACTTTTTTTTCCCGAACAATGCCGATCCTGTCTCCTTATATTCTAACCTCGATTTCTCATCCCTTTCTAAACTCTGGACGTTCAAAGTTTGCCGGTTTGACGCTGTACTTTTTGTCAACCTTATAATGTAAAAAAAAGATACGAATTTTTTCGGAATTTTTCAAAATACAAATGAAATTCATACGGTGATAAAAACTTTGCAATAAAAATTTTTGCGGTGCTCTGAATCACCAATCCTAGCCTAAAATGAAGCCATTATTGTAATTATATATTTGAAATTGAATATAAGTTTACATTTTTAAATTCTGATTAAGTAAAGACTTTTCAATATGCTCATAATAAATATCAAACTTCACGGACAACCCTCGTAGTTCAAAAATCAGAGTTAATTAACACCATCTATCAAGCAATTAAAGCGCTGACCCTGGGAGGTGCAAAGGACAAGCATCTATTTATATTTATCTAAATCCAAAATTTAACTTTTAAACATAGCATATTAAGAATGTTACCTTGAGACAATCATTTACTCACATTTTTGCTGGAAAAGAGATGCACAGTTGTATCAGATTCTACATGTAAGTGTATAAATCCACATCATTGTTTAATGTTTATGATAAGTAAGAAAGTTATTGGCTACTTCAGAAATGGCGCAGGATTGAATCACCTCCACATCCCGAGGCCTGCAATTTGGTGCAAAGAATAAACAAGGCTATTTCTTGCGTCACTTTCACATTAAATGTCTAGAAAGCCAAAAACTTTGTGAGCCCATCAATGTAATTTTTGGCTCGATTACATTCGCCGCTGCATGTTCCCATAGACTATGATTTTATCTAACATTTTCCGTCATTTTGAGATTGATATCTACTACAAGTCTTCAAAAAGCAGCAACAATTCTAAATAGATGTGGTAGGTACATGTTGCTGTTTCAATTTTATAACACAAATAACAAGAGAATTTTTTTTACTGACTCAGGTTGTTTCTTGAATATGGGAAAGAAATAACATAACGCTTTCCAGTGTTAGTGTTAAAATTGGTGAAAAATCAACTCAAAATGTTTGATAAAAAATGGACATGGATAAGAAACATTGAGAAAAATACTGAGATTAAAGGAAGGCTTTTATGCATTTCCTTCTATAACAGCTGCTCAATCAATGTGAATTAGCTGTCTATATTGTATACGTTTGATTAGAAAGTTTAAGGTCTCATTTAAGTTGACTTCTAACTGTTTAATGTATCGGGGAGGTCATGCTAAAAAAGAGAAATGACGTTTCCAGTGTCCTTAATACTAATATACTTAAAAAAAACTTTTGAAAATTATTAAAATAAGATTACAATATTTTATTTTTGCATCGCAAAATTAATTTCCACAGTCAAATATAGACTTGAAAAATTTAACAACATTTTGACCTAGATAAAAAAACATTGTGCTTCTATTTTCTTCTAAGATTGTCTCCTTTTTTTAACTTGTAACAAATGTTTCATTCGAATTGGCAAACATTTACTGTATACTGGGAAATTTTCGCCCCCCGTTTTATTTTCACCCCTTTCGCCCTCTTCTTGATTGGGCGAATTTAAAACGGGGCGAATTCAAATTACACAGCACAATTTCTTAAGCAGAACTATGAATGGGCGAATTTAAAACGGGGCAAAATTGTTTGCAAGAGTGAAAGGGCGATAATAACATGGGGCGAACATAACCCTGTATACAGTATCTGAAACAATTTTGAAACTTAATTAATTTATTTTGATGACTAAAATTTCTTAATTAAGATTGTGTTTGGCGAGTGGGTAAAACACACACGACGACCTAGATAAAAATTGCCACTTCAAGACAGACAATACGTTCTTCAACCGGACGGGAATTTGTGCAAGATACCAGAGGATCTCGTTGTCTATATAAATCTGTTTGAAATAAATTAAATTAACAAAATAAAAAAATATATTAGCTTTTTAAATTTTTAGAGACAGGTAGAAACCAGCTTAAAAAATCACAAGGCTATTATAATATTATTTGATATTATCTTGTAAAACATATAAGGCGATTTTTCGAGTGGACACTTAATTTGCAAGCATTTACAGAAATGGGAAAAACTCAAGGGATATCTCGAACTATTACTTGCAGGTTTACAGATTAAGAAAAGTTTCTCCAAGCGTAAAGAGAACTAAAGAATAGAGATGGTGAATCATCTGACCTGTCTAACTGACCATGCAGAATGGTCCGTGTAACCAAAGGCACCTGAAAGAACCTTTAACGTCAAGCCCCTGAGACCAATAGAAGTCGCAGAAAAACCGAGAGAAATCCCAGGAA